CTGGGGCTTCCGCCGCGCCGCCCTTGAGCGAGTTTCTTTCAATGCAGAGTCAGAACTGGTTCGGAAGTTCAGCAACTTGATCAAGGTTCAGATACCTGCCTACTCTTGCCAGAGTTTCTTGTCCTTTGAGACAGCTTTGCAGTACTACCTTGTGATCATACTGGGCTTCCTCCTAGATGCCAAGTGTTACCTGTTGGCATTGTGTGTGTGTGTGTGTTTGTGTGTCCTCCCCCTCCCCCCACTACCGCTAAATTGAATCTGCTTAGATACATATACCAGCCAAATCAAGTTACCCTCTAGGGATCACTGGTCACTCTCTCTCTCTCAAAGCTGCATCTTTTGTTTTGGTCAGTTATATCCAGTCCTACCAGGCCAGAGTCTTCTTTTTCTTGCTCTGTTTGTAAGACTAAGGATACATACAGACTTGAATGTATTCTTTTCATCTTTTGTTCATTTTCTTTCTTTTTTCAAATATATAATACCTAAATCTAGGGAGGAAAGCATGTTGAAAAGTCTGAGATCCTTGTGTGCAAAAGAACCTTTTATGGGTTAGAATATTTTCCACATCCAAGTAGTCTCCATAAAGCCTGCTTTATATCTTTGTTTCTCAGGCTATAGATAAAGGGGTTCAGCATAGGGGTGACCATTGTGTATACCACAGATGCCACCATTCCAGTGTCGGCTGAGTAGGAGGATGAGGGCTGGAAATATACTAGAAAGAGGGTTCCATAGAAGAGAGTGACCACTGACAGGTGAGAGCCACAGGTAGAGAAGACTTTATGCTTCCCCCCAGCAGAGGGGATCCTGAGGATGGTGTGTACAATGCGGGCATAAGAGACCAGAACACAGGTGAGAGGGACCACACCTGAGAGAGCAGCTTCAGCAAACATCATGACCTGAAAGATGTGAGTGTCTGAACAGGCAAGCTTGAGGAGTGGGAGAAGATCACAGAAAAAGTGTGGGATGGAATGGGAGGCACAGAAGGAGACCTGAGCCATCAGGAGAGTGAGGGAGAAAGCCAGGAGGCTGGCGCAGAGCCAGGATGTGGCCACGAGCAGCAGGCAGCGTTGGGGACACATGACCGTGGTGTAGTGGAGAGGAAGGCAGATGGCCACGTAGCGATCATATGCCATCACGGCCAGCAGGAAGTCATCCAACAAGGTCAAAGCCATGAAGAAGTACATCTGCATGAGGCACCCGGTGTAGGATATGGTGTGATGCTGTGTGTGGATGTTCACCAGCACCTTGGGGACAATGGTGCAGGTGACGCAGGTATCAACAAAGGATAGGTTGGCCAGTAAGAAGTACATGGGCATGTGGAGGCGTGAGTCAGAGCCAATGGCCAGGATGATGAGCAGATTTCCCAACATGGTGACCAGGTACATGCCTAGGAAGAGCCTGAACAGGAGAGGTGGTTGTTCAGAGAAGCCCAGGAGCAGGAAGCCAGAGATGCTGGTTTGGTTTCTAACATCCTTCAAAGGCAGAGAAATTATAGCATTCTTTCTAAACACAGGCTCTACAAATTATATTCCAAGGACTTTGGCCTCCTTTTTTATATTCCTTGAAGTCACTGACATTCAGTAGTAGCAGTAAAGGCAGGTATGCAAAAATGAAAATATGAAGACTATGAATTGTGATAATCAGGCATCATAAGAAAGATATAGTTTGGTTTCTAGATTTTTGTTATATAGTAAGTTGCCCCATGTGTACCTGAATGAGGTTGAACTGACTCTCAGCTAGAATGATCCTTTCCAAGTTGTAATGAATGTCTTTTTAAACTGTAGAACAACTTTCAATCTCATCACTTTATTGTGGCACTTATTTCGGGATCATGCATATACTTGAATTTAGTGAATAATACAAAATGTTTTATTTGTATATATACATATATATATATATATATATATATATATATATATCTATACATATATAATATATATATGAGTGTGTGTGTGTGTGTGTGTGTGTGCATTTTGAGGGAAACGAAGAGGGAATAATTTCTTCAGAGGGCAGCTGCATCTTAGGATTTTCTAGCTGTGTTGAAAATACTTGTTTTGTTTTTGGAGATATTTTCAATAAGTTTATGATTCTTGGGAACTTTGTAAATGGAAAGTCACGTTGTCAGTAGAGAGCACTTTTTTTTTTTTTTTGCCACCAACAACATCAATAGCAGCATCACTTTTAAGATCGTGCACTTTAGCATTTAGAAATGGCTGGGAATCTTTTTTCTGCCACCCCTCCCCCTTTTTTGCAGTGTTGCTGAATCTCAGTTTCCTAGTCTGTGCAATGTGTAACTGCTTCTTAGTCTCCACAGTTATTAGGAAGATAATATGTAATACATGCTTTCGATAAAGTTGTGACTGTCACTCTCCATGCCAGTAGTACTTAATGAAATGTGAGCCTGGGACCCAAGATGCAAAGTTTGGTATTAGGCAGTATGCTTTATAACTTCCTCATAAGCCTTTTTTCGCTTTCGGTTATGTGTTCCCCTTTGAGCCTTGCCTGATTTGGTAAACAGCTGCAGGTAATAACCCTACCTGAAAGATGTGTTGAGGGAATAAATGCTGAACTCTGGTGAAAAAAAAATTATTTATGAACCATTAAGTGCAGTTAAAGTGAGGAATCCCAGTGTTCGGGTTTATTGTGTGGGGGACAAATGCAACAAGCTGTCAGTGGCAGCACACTTGACGTTGCACTCGTTCAGGGAGATGATTAAAAATGCAGGCTGTCCTATGGAATCTGACCAAATTTCCTCACTATAAATTCTCTGTGCTTTTTGAGAATGTCGCTTTGCCTTTATGATTTTCAGTTTCTACATGTTTCTTTCTTCTTCTTTTTTTTTTTTTAGAGAGATTTTTTGCTGTAGGGCATGTGCGCTTACCAGAGATACAGAGAGAGACAGAGAGACAGAAAACAAAAAATTCCCCTTCCCCCCTCCACGAAGAATGGCCACCCAGTGATCTGTTCTCCTCCATTCTCTTCTTGGGATTTTGGGCACACATGCACACGCACCCAGAGTGAGTTCTGCACACGCCACAGGGTCTGGGTCTTGAACCACAGTTGTCTAGGTGGGAGTCCAGTGATGTAACCATTATGCCATCTGCTGGTTCCAAATTTTCACTATGTTTAAATGGGCAATAATGGAGCTTAATGGACTAAGCTATTATGAGGATTAAATTAGATAATGTTTCTAAAATATTTAGACTAAGGCCGGTACATGGTAAGCACTTAATAAATATTAGCCATTATCATTATTGTTAACAAATGAGGGTGGGGGCCAGAAGGTGGCATGGTGATTAAGGGTGCTGGACTCCCAGTTGGTCGACTGTGGTTCAAGTCCTAGACCTGGCAGCTTGCTTTCTCACTTCCCCTCTCTCTCTCTGGTGAGTGTACATGCCCTATAGTAAATAAAAAATAAATAAATAAAATGTTTAAAATTCTTAAAAAAGGAGGCTTAAACAAAATGAAGGTGCTTTGTGCTATGTCCTTGATCCAGGCTATTACCTGATAGGAGATGGTTTGGTGAATTGCCAAGTATGGGATAAGAGTCACCATCACCATCACCATCACCATCACCATCACCATCACCATCACCATCACCATCACCATCACCATCACCATCACCATCACCATCACCATCACCATCACCATCACCATCACCATCACCATCACCATCACCATCACCATCACCATCACCATCACCATCACCATCACCATCACCATCACCATCACCATCA